AAACCAACGCTTACACTGTGTTCCGCAGCATTCAACAATGTCAGCGCGCCGCCTCGACAGCTCGTGCAAAGTGCTTTGAGCTTCAGTGCCACTTTCCAAACTGATATCTAGTCGCATAATGGGCTCAATCAACCGCGCGCCTGCAGCTTCAATAGCTTCTGTGACACATTTATGAGCGCAAGCAGATACTAAATGAAACAGATTCAGTTGCAGAATGCATAATGACCAGCTTACTAACTTTTCGTCTCTATTTCAAAATTGCTCTTCTAATATTTATTAGAATCTCAGGTTTCCTCTAACAAAAGTATTCAGCAAAGTGCTTGTGCCTCTGATGAGCAATTTTCAGTCGTTCAGTTTCTGCAATATCAATCTTCTCGGGTTCGGCTTTTTCGAATTGAGCGCGCAGAAAGCATGGGTACTTACTTAACAATAAAAAATTATTTTGTTTGAGAAACTGAATAAATGTGAAGTGTTATTGACTCATGCAGAAAAAAAAAGTGTTCCAATTTTCAAACAAAAATGATACTAGCAATATATAGACTATAGTTTCCACAAACAAGACGGAACTCAAAAGGAAACTGCACAATCTCTATCAGCGATAATATTAGAAGGAATATCAAAGTGTAAGCTAAAGTCCCGATATAAGTTTTGAACTTATCAAGTCCAAGGAACACTACTTACGAACTGCAGGATTGACACGTCCTCCACTGGTAGTAATTCCTTTCAATTTGATCACCACATCTTGTATAGGAAAACCCAGAACAGGACCATTGTGAAGTGCATTTCCACAACCTTCGTTTATTGCCTTGAGCCAATCACTACGAATGGAGGTAGCATCGGGTGGCAGTTCCACTTGCACCTATAGCATAAAGTTCAAACAATACAAATCAGAAGTGATGCCACAGTCTTTGACCACTTATGACATAAAACATAGATCCGGATGAAACAAACCGATTTGAATTTGCCACTCTTTGGAGCTGGCTCCAAGCAAAGCGTTAGATTGGCGCTATGAATTCTCTTTTTATCGTCTACAATATCTTGCACCGTTCGCGTCAAAGTTATTGGATGACTTATGATCTCGCGATAAGCAATCTGAAATTTGAAAAAATCACATACGATAGCAAATGATTTTGTTACAATAGTCTTTTATGACTGTTCGACCATTTTCAAAAGAAACAGAAAACAATAAGGTAACGAAGTCTAGGTCACCTGGAGAGGCCCAATAAACACATTAAGACCATAGTCGCGTACGAGACGACACTTCACAATATCCATGTGAAGCTCCCCCATTGTTTCCACCACTGTCTGTCCTGTTTCGTGATCAAAACGAACCCTTAGAGAGGGGTCCTTAAAATGAAAATTAGGAACTCAAGAATATACTAACCTTAATTTATGAAAAGTCTGTTTACCTCTAGCGCAATTTCTTTCAGTGCCTTTTCAAATTCATAATTTGATTTTGATGTCGGTGG